CAAGAGGAGAGAGAAGAGAACAAGTGTGAACTACGGGCAAGTCTTCCACCAAACAACGCCTTTGCGTCTTCCTAGAATCTGTGAGTAAAGAAACATTTTCAGTGTCAACTTGTTAACCGGATGCATTTCTGTTCTATCTTTTTCCACGTAGGGGAGGAAAGACTGGAGAGATAGTGGTAGAGTGGGTGCTGAGAGAGTTGGGGGCTGAGCCCCAGATTTCAAGATGACTGACTGCTGACAACGGTAACTTGTGGCAATCAGATTGAACAAAAATGTCCCAACCTTGAGGATTCCAAGATTTAAGGAACACAGGAACCACTTAAGCAAAGGCTAGCCCATGCTGACCAAGGCATTTCTCTTAGCTGGAAGCTCCCAGAGCTCTGGTCGATGGCTTGGTGTCACGCTGGGCACACTACCGCCACGTTCCCACAGTCCCCATACCGCCACGTTCCCACAGTCCCCAGACCAGACTCAACACAGTGCACCGACAGTGCTTGGTGACGGACGGACACAGTAGAGGATGGTATTGACAACTTTCCCCGATTCAGCTTTGCTTGAAGATGAAAGACTGTGCAGGCAGGCTCTCACACGGCTTCTGGGAGCTGCAGCAGCCCGGGACTGTTTAGCACTGAAAGGGTACGGACTCCTTATTTACAGACTGACCGAGCAGAGGAGCATCATGAGTAGTTACGCGTTTCCTGCCATCTTGTCCCCTCAATGACAAACAAGGATGTTTTATTACCTGTCCCAGCTGCCTGTGTCATCCTGTCTCAGCCACACAGTTCAAAGGTGACAGCAGGGGAGGTCAGGTTTAAATCGGGTGAGTTCTCTGAGGTCCTGGGGCGGCAGTGAAGGGGTGGGGCAGCAGGCTCTCCTGCTGACCTTTTTAGTATTTTCTATCTCAACTGTCCAAAAGCTCATGTTTCCGGAATACTCCCTCCACAGACCACTAAGGGCTACGGTGACCAGTCCCGTCCCGGAGCATAAAGGGTGGTGGCGTCTCTCCCCGTCTGGAGAACAGCTGAACACCTAGGGTCGGAAAAATCCCCTGCCTTCTGCCTTCCATCGTTTCGCCAAAGCAGCATTTCACCTTTTTCCAAATGCCTCGCCCCCCTCCTACCCCGCAGTTCTCCAGGGACAAAGTCACTGTCAACGCCCCCATGTCTGCTGCAGGCGGTCAGCCTTCCAGTCCCCCGCCGGAGGCATCTGCCGTCGACACTTGGCCAGCGAGCACATCCGAACACAGCAGCAGCCCCGCGCGGCTCAGCAGCCTTGAGATACATGCCCAGAACTGCCTGCCTTCCAAGTGCTGCTGGCTCCACAGCCGCGTGGAGAGCAAGGGAAGGAGAAGGGCTGCTCCAGAGAACAGACACAACAACATCAAATCACTGGAAAAAGAACATCTCTGTCAGCAGCCACCTCCTAGCAACAAGTCCTCCTTGCATGTGCTCCACGATGTTTCCGCCGGGCAGCACGCAGTGCAGCGCCACAGCGTCAAGGACACTGCAGTCTAAAACTTCCAGCCGGGCAGACAGTACCGAGAAGCTGTTTGACGGATGAAATGGGTCACCCAGAGGGAGCAGTGCAGAAGGAAGGGGGTCAGCCTGGGGTCTGGCCCTTCCTCGGCGCATCTGCTTCCGCTCAGCCTTTGCGAGACGCCAAGAGCTGCTCCTGGAACGGAACCAAGCCTGGACACAGGGAAGGCTGGGAACGGGAAGCCCATGTTTCCTCTTGAACGTTCCTAACTTTACTGCAAGGCACTGCCCAGACAGGAGTCCAGGGCTCTGCTTACCACCACACCAAGTCTGATTCCAAAGACACCTCCGAAAAGAAAAGATAATGTCTTTATGTGCTTAGAAAAGAGGAGCGAGAGGAAGCCTACCAAGCCTGACATTTATGGAAAATGTTCTCTAAGCAAGCATCGTGCTAAGATCTCTCGCCAGTTCTAGCATGTACTCACTCAACAAACATTTGAGCCCCTACTACATACAAAACTGTCCTAAGAACTGGGTGTACAAAAATAAACAACTCAGTCCAAATCCTAGCTTTCACTAACTTATATTTTCGTCGAGATTGTCAGAAATAAATATATACGGCTGTTGGTGACAAACATGATGAAGAATGATTTTAAAGTAGACAAAGGAAATGCCATTATATACAAGAGCAGTTCAAAAGCTTTCTGGAAAATGGAATTAAATGTGTGTTTGGGTACCAAAAATTGTTAAAATCCAGGCATATGAGGGATGTTCAAAAATTCAGAGAAAACTATGCATGGATTTCAAAATATTTGCACCCAAATAAACTTTCCCTTTAATTCCACTTTTCCATGAACTTTTTGAAGTACTTTATTAAAATTTTCTCTACAAACGAAGCAGGGAGGGGGTGCCCTTTTGAATACCGTTGTGCTGGAAGGCTTCCCTGACTGCCATTTGGTAACAACGACACTAAGGGCCAGGCATATATGGTCACTGTGAGCCAGAAACGACTAAGTCCTTAATGAGCAATATTTCATTTACTCATCAGCCACCCCGAGTTCAATACTACGCCCATCCCCACTACACAGATGAGAAAATGGCTTTGTGTAGAATCTGTAATAAGTAAGGGATGAAGGGGGAGCAAGGCCCAGGTGGCACAGGAAGTCAGGAGACCAGGACTGGACCTCAAGATTGCAGTGCCAAACCCCACAATTCTCCCCACTGCACCACGCTACTGCGCTGGTGGGAGAGACGGCACCTCCAGGAGGTCACATGTGGCTCCCCACATTCGGCTAAGAGATGACTGCAATTCAATCTTCCCAAATATGAGACTATATGATTCTCAACACCAGCTAGAAACCAAGCCCTAGCTTGAAACAAGAGGAGAGAGGCAGGCACCTGGGGCTCTTCAAGGCCAGCTAATAAAGCTAAGTTCCTCCCCCCCCCACCCTCCCTGGCCCCCAACGCAAGCCCATGCAGCAAAGGGAGGTACACTTCGCTGCTCACTGTCCAGGTCGCCAGCCAGGCGCCGGCTGCCCAACAGAGCCACGGCAGCTCTCCCAGGCGGAGTGCAGGGACAGGCCCTGAGAAAGGGAGGGCAGGCCCTCTCCAGCTCCGTTGCAGAGCCAGCACAGCTCTCCCCCAAGCCTTGGAATACTGGGGTGCTACAGGGGGAGGCAGAGTATTTCCTCAGGAGCAGAAGGCAGGACAGAGAGAGGGACGGCCCCGAAACGGGTCTGCTAGGAGAGGAGAGAGGACAGAGTGGCAGAAGGCGACCCAAGCAGGCGAGCCCAGAAGGGAAATACCACGCGCAGGGTCAGAGGGTAGCTAATCACCGGGAAACCCACACTGGGGGCCCAGACCAAACTACCAGCGGCTACAAGGAAGGAGAAGCCCAAGCAGAGTGCCACAGGTTCAAAGCAGAGGTCATGGCCTGGACCCACCTATTTTGTGCTGCATTTCCACTCCACAGCCACAGGAACCTGCACCTAGAGTTAATCAGCAACCGGGGCGGGGCGGGTGGAGTGCAGTCAGACTGCTCTTCACAGCCCGCGTCTCCAGCTTATAGCCCGACCCACCTGAGCACCCCAGTTTAAAGCCAGGCTAAGCTGCCCTTACTGATCTCCCTCCTGAGGCCGGCGGCCCCTGTCCCCAACATCAGGACGCACAGAAAGGCCAGGCTCAGTCTCCCTCCCTGGCACCAAAGGGATTATGACCTGAATGGCAGGAGAAAAACTGTGTCACCTGGAGAAACCCAATTAACAACATGACTCTGCTCTCTTCAATTCCCCTCTCCCCTCTAGTCATATCCGGGGCAGCTGCCTGGCTGACCGCCTTTTCCCACTACCGGCCACGTTCCCTGGCTAATTCGAAAGCCAGGAGCCAGGTGGCACGGGGGCCTCCCGAGCAGCTCGCCCACAGATGGGAAATCCTGCTGTCCCCACACCTTGGCCTGTTGAGCAAGCTGGAAGGGCACGGGATCCAACACCACCTGGCAGTCTGGAGTGTTCACCTTGAAATCAGCGAATTGCCCTTAAGCCAAAGCTGCGTGGGGAAGGAGCACACACACACAGGAGGGCAGCCAGAGCTCCTTCAGAGGAGCCTGCAAGTGCCCCCACGTGGGACAAGAAATGGTATTTGCAAGCGATGTCTGCTGCTCTTGTTTCCACTCAACCCCTTTCCTAATTATAATTAGCGCCCCCCCAACATACACATAACCGCAGCTTTTCCAAACCACAGGCCGCGTGTGTGTGTGTGTGTGTGTGTGTCCATGTATGTAAACATTCTCTTCCCGGCCCGGTGCTGGAGTTACTTAAAAGAGACGTCTGCCCTCCTCCCCCGCTGCACTTGTCTGGGTCCCGGCCTCACGGCGCTGCGGAGTGGGTAATGCAATACTCGGGGACCCTGAGACCGGAAATGCCTGGCTCTGGACTGCTGGCCGGCTGCACTTGAAACAGGAGCGCAGGCACAGCCAGGGGCAACTGGACGTTGGGACCACAGGGGAGCCCGCGGGAGGGAGGAGGGGAGCGGGGAGCTGCGATTCCGACCGGGGAAGAGACGCGATTCAGGGGGCAGGCCAGGAGGAGAAAGACGGATGAGGGGGAGGCTCGTCAAGACACTTGCAAAGTCAAAAATCCTGGGAGCCGAGGAAGGGGGGGCAGGGGAGAGCCAAGTAAGGGCAAGGGGACCGCCATGGAGCCCCTGCAGGTGACTCCAAACACTTCGGAGGAGGGGGTTCCCGGGCCCCAGAGTAGAGGCAGGGGTGGCAGGGAAGTGTGGGGGCGGGGCACCCCAGGGTGGAGACCGAACCGGTTCCCAGAACCTGCGGCGAGTGGAGAGAGAAGGGGAGCAGAGGGCGGGGGCCCGGCGGCCGCGAGAGCCCGGGAAAGAGGCGAGGGTCGCCTAGGGCTGGGAAGCGGCCGGTGGAGGGGGCGCCCGACTAGCACGTGAGGCGCGCAGCCAGCACGCTCCCTCCCCTGCAGCGAGGACGCGAACCAGGGCGAGGCTGGGGGGCGGCGCGCTCACCCGCAGGGCGGACAGGTCGATGTCGTCCAGGCTGCGGGCGGGGGCTGGGTCGCCCATGGCCTCCGCGGGGAACGGCGCCCCGGGGCCGCTCACGCTCCGGCTCGGTTATTCCACTGCCGCCGTCGCCGCTTCTTTCCCCTCCGGGGGCTTTGGGGGGGGGTCCACCCGGCCTCCCCGGAACCCGGGGAGGGGGAGGCCCCCGGGAGGACCCACCCCCCGGCTTAAAGAATTTTCGCCCCGAGGCTGAAAACCGAAGCCTCCCCCTTTTCTGGCAAGGCGGAACGGGCCTTTCCCCCGGAAGGGTGGAAAAACGAACCTGGCCCGAACCCCCCCGGTTTCCCCCTCCCCCCTTAGGGGCCGACAACCTCCGCGCCAGCGCCAGCAGAACCCGGCGGAAAGGCCCCCCGCGAGGACCGAGCGACCGCGCGAGCCTGGCGTGAAAGAAGTGGGCGGCGGCCGAGGCGGCCGCGGTGCGCGCCCACCAGCCGGCGCGCGTGCGCACACGCGTTTCTTTCCCCTAATTTTTTTTTTCCCCCTTTTCTCCCTCCTGTTTCCTTCTAAGATTTCCTTTGACGCCTTTCCTTCCCTTTCCCTCCTTTCGTGTGCCCGGCTGCCAGTCAAACCACCCACCTCCCTATTTGCGGGGGAAGGGGGGCGGGACCCAGCCCCCTCCATTACTAGGGGAGTTGTTATGGTAACTCCCCACGCGAAGGCTGGGTGGCCTCTAGATAGGACGGGCTGTCCACCCACCCAATTGCCATGGCAACAGTGGAGCCGCCAAGGGAGGGGCCTCTCCGTGAGAACTTGGCTGTGGGAACCACGTGGGAGTTGGGGACTGGGGTGGTGGCGGGGGACAGTGGATGCCTCAGGAAGACCCTGTACTCCCGTCCCCGGCGGAGGAAGGGGTACCTCAGATCTCAGGATGGGAGATCCTACGTCAGACCCGAAACCCTGCATGTCTCAAAGTGCGGTGCGCAAAGGCACTGTTCCAACAATTATTCATTGACCGATCACTGGAGTTGTGCGTGGGGGAGAGGTGACAGAGAGGAGGAGGAGGAGACTCTCTAATCCCTGCCAGTCTTGCTCGGATCACCTTAGATCTGGTCGTGTTGGAGCAGCACCTGCAGCCACCGCCTCACGGGAGGCTGGTAGTACTTGGTAAGAACAAGGAGGCTCCTTCTGCCTTGGCTTGCTGTTCAACCTTGAGCAAGTGGCTTTGCTGCTCTGGGTTTTTCCTTCATTGTTGAAACTGAGGGAGCAGACTGCAGGACCGTCAGGGTCTCTGCCCAGCTCGACCACCTCTGAACCTCCCGCCAGCCTTGGTGTTAAACCTCACCTAGGAGGGTTTGAATGAAAGGTCCTTGGAAAAGTGCTGAATGCCTTCCCTCCGCGACCCTGCTTGGTACTTTTGGGTGCACATCCAGGCTTGCTCTCCTCCCTTCCCGGGTCATTTACTTTCCTTACCCGAGCCACCGGCCCCGTTCACTTCCACTCTCTGTCATCCTACTTGGCCACAGAGTGATTTCTGTAAAACTGAAACCTGACCGTATTCCTCTGTGTAAGACGCTTGCTAACAGCTGCTCTCTTCGAAGACCTGTCCGGATGCTGCTTGCTTCTCCTTCTTTATTTTTCGGTACCCCAATGTTCAACTTCACATGTTCCGGCTGTTTGAAATACCACTCAGTTCCCAGAACTCGGCACACTCTCCTGTGGCTGTTGTACTTACTGTCTCTTCTCCCTGGAATAGCCTCCAGCCTCCTGACCCTGCCAGCTCTTGCCGTCCTTTGCTTTGTCCTGTGGGTCTACACTGCCTTCTCCCTGCAGCCTCTGTGGACCCACTACACCCGTTTGGTTCTTCTGGATTAGCTGTCTGGCTTAAGCCCAAAGTAACATTTTACACATTGAACTGTGAATTTCTCTTGAATCTCCTTCAAGGCAGGAACGATCTTGTTCAGCACAGGACCTGGCACCCACGCGAGGATGCCTTCATTAACTTAATGAAGGCATCTGTTATCTGAGTGGGCACTGTAATAGTTCAAGGCCAAGACCATAGGCTAGTAGGAAAAAACAATTTGAAGTTAGGGCTTTAGACAACTTACTAACCTCTCCGAGGCTCAATTCTAATCAACTGTAAAATGAAGATAATAATAGGGACATTAGGATAAAATAAAATTATGTATGTAAAGCACTTGGCATGTACTAGGTCCTTAATAAATTTATTAATGCCTGACTAATAGAGTGTTTAGTGGAGAGATACTAAACAAATGAATGAGCAAACCAAGATCATGGGGATGGGATAATTGGCCACCCAAGACTCCAGAAGCGAAGCAATCTAGGGGGTGACAAGGATAGGAAACAAGACTGGCCCTGTGCTGGTGGTCATTGAAGCCGGAGTATGCATACCAGGACGTATATGGGAGGGGGCCTTCGAAAGATTATGGGAAAACACGTGTTATAAAAAAGCAGCACGGTGGGGCCAGCGCTGTGGCGTAGTGGATAAAGCCATCACTTGAAGTGCTGGCATCCCATTTGGGCGCTGGTTCGAGTCCTGGCTGCTCCACTTCCAATCCAGCTCTCTGCTATGGCTTGGGAAAGCAGTAGAAAATGGCCCAAGTCCTTGGGCCCCTGCACCTGTGTGGGAGATCCAGAAGAAGCTCCTGGCTCCAGATCGGCACAGCTCCACCATTGCAGCCATCTGGGGTGTGAACCAGTGGATGGAAGACCTCTCTCTCTCTCTCCCTCTCTGCCTCTGTGTAATTCTTTCAAATAAATAAATAAATCTTAAAAAAAAAAAAAGCTGCATGGTTTTCAAAATCTTTGCATCAAAATAAACTTACTAGGGTGGGCTTTTGCAGGCCAGGCATTTGGTGCCGTGGTTAACACGGCGCTTAGGATGCCTGCCTCCCATACTCCCTGCGTTCAAGTCTTGGCTCCACTTCTAATTTCAGCTTCCTGCTGATGTGCACCCTGGGAGGCGGCAGTGATGGCTCCAGTACTTAGGTCCTTGTCGCCCACTGGGAGACCTGGGCTGAGACTCAGGCTGCTGGCTTTAGCCTGGCCCAGCCCTGGCTATTGTGGACATTTGGGGAGTGCACCAGCAGATAGATTTTTCTCTCCCCACCCTTCCCACCCTCCAACATTTCAAATAAAATGAAAGTAAATAAATAAAAATTTAAAATTTATCTTTCAACCCCATTTTCCAGGATGGCTATGCAGGTTCATTAACCTATTCTCTATATATCTGAAGTTGCTCACATAAAAACTTAAAAAGAGACAAAGTGATGGACGGAGTGGCATCAAGAACAGTGAAAATGTTAAATGTGAGACTAATCACAGGGCCCCTGGAGGGTGACTGGACACTTTGCTCAGGCCTAGACGTCCTGGGGCCTCCCACCCACCCCAGGGAGCTGGATTCCTTCTCTGCAGGCCGCTCTTGGGATTCCAAGCTCTCTTGCTTTTCTCCCAGGCACTGTTGTTGGCGTCTGTTCTAGAAACTCCAGGACTAAGGAGGGGCAGGCTGGCCCAGCCTGGGGCCGCTGTTACCTCCATCCAACCCCAGTTAACGAGGTAATGGCACCCCCAGGGATAGAGGCACTTAAGTGCTGACAATGAGGCTAATTAACAGAATGCCAATTAGCACCCAGAGACTGCTAGGCTGTGTGTGGGAGAGGGGACTTCTTGCTTCTTCAAAGAGCGGGAAGGCTGGACTCTGAGGAGAGGACGGGCCACAGAGCGCCCTCTGTTTCTGTCGTCATGCCCCCGGCACACCCCTCCTCCAAGAAGGCTTCCGGAATTCCTCACTCTGTGCCCCTCTGTTCTGTCCTGTTTCTGGAGGGCTTGCAGGCATGATCCAGCACCTATGCTAAACTTTTCCTTCTTCTCTTTTTTTAAAAACTGGTGTCTAAGCTTTATTGACAGGTGAATTGTTGAAAAATGTTCTCAAGAGTCAATAATTACAAAAACTGAGGCTTACATTAAAAGATTAAAAACCAGACCCTCCAGCAGGTGCCCAGCCCAGCAGAAGGCCCAAGGGAGGCAGGAGAGGTGGGCAGGTGTGGGTGTGATATGCACAGGCGCAGCCGGCGGTGCCACATCACTCAGCACCAACTCCACCAAGTGGTGCTAACCTTTTTCCAATTGAAAAATATTCCAGGGGCCGGCGTTGTGGCACAGCGGGTTAACGCCCTGGCCTGAAGCACCGGCATCCCATATGGGCGCCTGTTCGAGTCCCGGCTACTCCACTTCTGATCCAGCTCTCTGCTATGGCCTGGGAAAGCAGCAGAGGATGGCTCAAGTCCTTGGGCCCCTGCACCCGCATGGGAGGCCTGGAAGAAGCTCCTGGCTCCTGGCTTCGGATCGGCGCAGCTCCAGCCTTTGTGGCCATCTGGAGAGTGAACCAGCAAATGGAAGATCGATCTCTCTCTCTCTCTGGAGAGTGAACCAGCAGATGGAAGATCTCTCTCTCTCTCTCTCTGCCTCTCCTCTCTCTGTGTAACTCTTTCAAATAAATAAATAAATATTAAAAAAAAATATTCCAGGGGGCTGCATTATGGCACGGCAAGTTAAGCTGCCGCTTGCGATGCCGGCATCTCATATCTGAATACCATTGCGAATCCTGACTGCTCATCTCCCAATCCAGCTTCCTGCTAATGTGCCCGGGAAGGCAGCAGAAGATGGCTACCGGCCTGGACTGGGGGGCTCCAGAACATACATGCCATGGGGTGGGGACTTCGTTGTAGTGCAGCAGTCAGTGCCAGTCTTTACACGAACCAATCGTGTAAATATTCTCATTTCCCAGTTGGGATCAACAAGTCCCAGAGAAGTAACCTGACAAGGCCTTCGGGCTTCTTTATTTTTTAAATGTTTTGCAAGTTAGCAATTGTTTAAAAAAATTAATTTAATTGAAAGGCAGAATGACAGAGAAGGGGAAACACACAGAGGGAGAGACAGACAGAGATGAGTTTTGCATCAACTGATTAAGTTCCCAGATGCCTGCAACAGGGCTAGGCCAGACTCAAGTCAGGAGCCAGGAGCTGTGTCCGTGCGGGTTACAGGACCCCAAGGACCGGGGCCATCACCTGCTGCCTCTCAGGCACATCAGCAGGAAGCTGGATTGGACGTGCAGAGTAGCTGGGACTCAAACCAGGCACTCTGATGTGGGATGCAGGCATCCCAAGGGGCAACTTAACCTGCTGCACCACAACACCTGCCCCCACATCTTTTATTGTTGAAAATTTGAGAGAGCAAGAAGTCCCACCAATTCTCTCCCTCAAATGCCCGCAATGGCCAGGGCTGAGCTGGGGGCCAAATCTGGGTGCTAGGAACTCAATCAAGGCCTCGCATGTGGGTGTCAGGAACTCAATCATTTGAGCCATCACTACTGCCTCCCAGGGTCGGCTCTGACAAAGAGTCCAGGCATTGAACCCAGGCTCTCGGATGTGGGACATCGCCACTGCTAGGCTAAACCCTCACCGCCATGCCCCACCCCCCAGCTTCTAAGTGACAGGTGTAGGATTCAGGCTCAGTTCTGTTCTCCCTGACCTCAAGCCTATAGCCCTCTCCAGGACAGGATGCAGAAGAAAGGAGTGGGGTAGGAAGGGGACTGGTGCTCTGGGTGGCTGCGACAAGGACTCAGGCCCTCCAGGAAGACAGGCGTGGGCTTTTCTAGACGTTTATTTATGAAATGCTTATTGCACTGGTACACAGTTAGTGTCTGTCAGTAGGCTGGCGGAGGGAATTAGTGTGTGCTCATCCTCATCCCCGTGTGGGGTGCAGCCTGCAGGGGCCCTGCCCTCCCCTCCACCCTGGCCGCAATGGGTTGGAGAGGACGGGAGGAGAAAGGGGGAGATGGGGAGGCCCCTCCTCCTGCAATGAGAAGTCCCACCCCCTACGTCCTAGCAGCAGTGGTTTGAGCTGGGCAGCAAGGCGGATGAGCCGTCTGGACCCCTCTCCATCCCCCTCTGCCCAGGGATGAGAGCGCCCCCTCTGGCCACTTCTCAAGGAAGGGCCCTCAGTGGCTTCCCCAGCACCTTCTGGGACACTGCTTGTGCCTGCACGGCCCTCAGTCCTTGGGGTAAAGGAGCAGGCAGCCGGCGCCCTCTGCCCGAGCGAGCGGAGCCTCTGCTACGTCCACACCTCCAGGGGAATCATGCCTTCCTTGCTGCCCAGCGGCGGCAGCAAAGACTCATCCTCCAGGAACTTGAGGGGGAAGTGGACCAAGTGGCCCTGGACCTGGGTGAGCTCCGACCTGGCCAAGGGAGGGCTGACCACGGCCAGGGGCTCCACGGCCACGTACTCCCGGAGAGTCCGCAGGGAGCGCGTGGCATTGGATGGCAGGCAGCGGAAGATCTGTGGGCAACGGGGCACCGAGGCCAGTCAGCTGGAGGGGACTCCTCCAACCGGACTCCTCCACCCCCGCCCCCGCCCCCGATCATCTCTCCAGACCCCCAGCACTGACCAGGGTCACTGACTTCCTCCAGAGTGGCCTCCCCCCAGGCCCTCATCCCCCTTCTGACAATGCCGGAGTGGAGGGGCTCAGGCCAGCGCCCCTCAGCTCCCACCTGCTCGTAGATATTGGCATTGTTTTCCGCTGTTGCTTGCCACAACTGGAAGAAGTCGTCACACACAGGGTCTCGGAGATCCAGGTCCGGCCGGGCATTTGCGCCAAGAATCACACTACAGGACAAAGGGGTCCCAGCAGCACCAGGTTAGGATACTCAGAGACTGAGTGCTAGAAGGTTGTGTTGTCCCTACCCAGGTAATTCAAAACAGATGTGAGAGGAAACAGTAAGATAAGCGTGAATGAGGCCAGCAAAGCTTTGATTTGTCTGAACATTGGTGCTGAAAATCTTTCAAATACTTCTCTCCCTGCACCCCTCCGCCCTGCCCTGGCCTCCCCTCACCCCCGCACCCGGCTCTACCTGAAGCAGTGTTTGCGCAAACTCAAGGCGAATCTGCCTGCCTGGTACTCGGCCCCATCCATGAGGGACGGCTCCATCTCTGTGTCCTCAATCAGCACAGCCAGCTCACTGTCCCGCTTCCCCAGCAAGCTCCGGTCATTGATGTTGGCAGAACCTGGGTGGGTGCAGACACTCGCTCTGCCAGGGCCCACCCACCCACACCGCATCCCCTCCACCCCCTCCCTCCCACCCAGCACGGACCGATGATGACTGTGCGGTCGTCCGCAATGAGCATCTTGCTGTGGATGTAGATGAGCTCTGAGACCGGGTGCCCGCCCAGCTCTCCGTGGGTGCGGAGTCCGCAGATGGATATGTAGTCCCGCCACGCTGTCCCCACTGCGCATAGGAAGGCCAGGGAGGGGAGGGGGCAGATGAGAGGTGCCTACCGCAGGCCAGCGCCGTCCTGTCCCACCTCTCTCCTCATTCAGAATTGGTTCCTGCAGCCTGTATACTTCTCCCTACGGTCCTGTATACTTCTCCCCGCAGTCCAAGGCCACCTGTGGCCAGGGTAGCTTCCTCTCCACCCCCAGGCCTCCAGCTCCAGAATCTCTCCCTCCCAGGGCCCAGGCCTCGAGCCCCCTGCCCCCAGCACTTACTGGCTGCTTTGAGGCGGTGCAGTATGGAATACTCCCCACGACACAGGGTCCTGAGGCAAGAAAAAGGGGAGGGATGTGGAGGCTGGGGGTGGGGGATGGAGGCTGGGGGAGGGAGGTGGAGGCTGGGGGAAGAGGGATGTGGAGGCCGGGGGAGGGAGGCAGAGGCGGGGGTGGGGGTCGGCGAGGGGAGGGAAGGCCCTCAAAGATCCAGCAGAAAGGGGTCAGGACAGTGAGGAGGGACGCACAGGTGGGAGGGGGTCAGGACAGTGAGGAGGGACGCACAGGTGGGAGGGGGTCAGGACAGTGAGGAGGGACGCACAGGTGGGAGGGGGTCAGGACAGTGAGGAGGGAGGTACAGGTGGGAGGGGGTCAGGACAGTGAGGAGGGAGGCACAGGTGGGAGGGGGTCAGGACAGTGAGGAGGGAGGCACAGGTGGGAGGGGGTCAGGACAGTGAGGAGGGAGGCACAGGTGGGAGGGGGTCAGGACAGGGAGGAGGGAGGCACAGGTGGGAGGGGGAACACCTGTAGGTGAAGTGCAGAATGGCCTGGATGGAGTTGCCCCCGCCTGTAGAGATGTCGCCCTCGAAGCCAGGGAGCAGGGGCAAAAGCACGTAGACCCGGAAACGCTGCCCCTGGCTGGGGAGAGGGGCGGGGTCAGCGGTGGGTGACAGGACCCTAAAGCCCCACCCCTTCCGGCTGGGCGTAAGCCCCGCCCCCCGCCCCTTACTTGTGGGCCTTCAGAATTCTGTCCACGATCTCATCGCCCACCTTGTTCAGAACCGACCGCCCATCTGAGCAGCTAATGAAGAACTGGTTCTGGGGCAAGGGTCAAAGACAGACGTCAGCAGTCTCCCAGCCCAGCGCCAGCCACGCCAGCCCTGGGTGAGCGATCCCACTGACATCCCAAGTCCCTCTCGCAGCACATCCTCCACCTCGCCCCAGGCAGACCTCAATGTAGAGGAAGTGGCGGCTCTCCCGGATGGTGTGCAGGTACGCATTGAGGATGGAGCTCTCCGAAGTGCCCGCTGACCAGCGGTCCACGGACCGCAGGACCTGGAGGGACGGTGGACAGGATGTGGTGCCAACCCAGAGAGGGCAAGCCCGGGAGCCTCACTTGTCAGGGAGACAGGGCTGAAGTGGGGCCCCCACCTGCACAGTGGTGCACTGTCCCCCGGAGATGGTGAAAGGGAGATGGTTTGCAGTGCTGGTGGACTTGGGCAGCAGGTAGGGGTACATGGGTATCTTGTACTTGGCCTTGGTGGTCTGAGGTGAAGAGGGCAGCATCAGCAGGGGGTGGCTGTCCCCAGCTCCCTCCCTCCTTCCTTCCCTCCTGCCCCTGTGGGAGGGGCGGGCACCTTGGTGAAGTTCCATCGCTGGATGAAGTGGCGGGCAAGGTCACGGGCAGGTGGGCCATGGACAACCACCCCGATGTCCCGCCATGGCATCCGGGGGGTGGTCTCCCTGTCAATGAAATCTGGGGGTCCCGGGAGAGTCAGGGATGGATGATTGGGGCAGGGGGGTAGGAGGATCATGGCGGAGAGATGCCTGGACCCAGCGCATCCCAGTCCCAGTCCCCGTGTCAGCTTCTGCCCCTGCTGTCTGCACTCAGGGGCTTCCGGGGAGAGGACCTCACCTTCAAAAGGCCGGTCCAGCTGCACCCAGTCCTTGGCAATGAGGTTGCTGTAGTCCTTGCCCAGCCAGAAGAGGTGGTTGTGAGACAGGTCTGGGGAGGCTTCAGGGTCTGGCTGTGGCAGGTGAGGCTGCAGGGGGAACACACCCAAGGCAGGGGGGCAAGGAGAGGTCACGGTCACGGGGGCCACACCGAGCCGGGCCACAGAGAAGACAGGAGCACTGAAAGAGTGCGAGAGACACAGAGAGGAGGAATGAGGCAGAGAGAGTTTGGTTTCCCAGCCTTCCCTGCAGCCGCGCTGGGCAGCCTCAGAGGGATGGGGGAGGGGCTGCGACATGTTCCAGAGGGGTTCTTGGGGTTCCAGAAAGAGCCTGGAAGGAGTGGAGCTGAGAAGCGATGTGGAGTCAGGGTGGGGCTCAGGAGGACCTGGGGTGGGGGGTTACCTGGGCGGTGGCTGACTCAGAAGAGTTGTCAAGGTCTGTCAGTCTGTAGTGCAGGTCGTCCCAGCGCCCGTAGGCAAGGTCCAGCCCCCCCAAGAAGGCCACCACCTGGTCCACCACCAGCAGCTTCTCATGGTGAGCCCACAGCGTCACCTGGTCTGGGTGCCGCATCACCTGGGGCAGGCGTGGAGCAGACAAGAAGGGGGGTTGGAGTGAGAGAAGGTAGAGGCTGTTGGGAGGGAGGGGAAGGGGAAGAGGGTGGCCGGGTGGGGGAGGTCTCCAGGCTGGGGGGGGAGGGAGAGGGCGGCCGGGGGGAGGGGTCTCTGGGCTGGGGGGGGAGGGGAGAGGGCGGCCGGGGGGAGGGGTCTTCGGGCTCTGGGGGAGGAGAGGGCAGCCAGGTGGAGGGGTCTCCGGGCTGAGGGGGGAGGGAGAGGGTGGCTGGGGGAGGGGTCTCTGGGCTTAGGGGGAGGGGAGAGGGCGGCTGGGGGGAGGGGTCTCTGGGCTGGGGGGGGAGGGGAGAGGGCGGCCGGGTGGAGGGGTCTTCGGGCTCTGGGGGAGGGAGAGGGCAGCCAGGTGGAGGGGTCTCCGGGCTGAGGGGGAGGAGAGAGGGTGGCTGGGGGAGGGGTCTCTGGGCTTGGGGGGAGGGGAGAGGGCGGCTGGGGGAGGGGTCTCGGGCTCAGGAGCCACCTTTACGTTGGGGTGCAGCAGCATCAGCGTCCTCTTGCTGTAGCCACTGTTGATGCCCAAGGCCAATTCCACTTCCTTAAACAGCAGCACGGACACACGAACACCCTCCTCCTGGCGGTGAGCGCGGGAATCAGATCCTAGGAGCCCCCTTCCACCCTTCCCGAACTGTCACGCACCCGCTCATCTCCCATCTACCGTTCGTCCATCCGGCCACCTGCCCAGCTGTCGTTCGACCTTCCCAACTCCTATCCGTCCATCCATCCATCTCACCCACACATCCTCCTCCTGTCCGTCAACATCCACACATGCCCCCTCCGTGGCAGGCACTGGGCCTTGCCCTGGAAGTAGTGAGAGAGAGGGACACGCACACACCCAGGTGACACAATGAAGTTGTACGGGACCAGGCGAGAAGCCTCTGCCGGGGGGGGGGGGGGGGGGGCAGGACAGGGAGGTGCAAGTCCTGCTCAGGGAGCAGGGAGCAGGTGCCAGGACGGGCAGTTCCCCTCCCCTGAAGCCTCGCATCCGCTTCTTCCTCCCACACTGCAGCGTCTCCAATCGCCCTCTGCCCATAAACCTCGCCATGCCTGGGCGGCAGCCTGACCACACTCCTCACCGCCTTTCTCTTGAGCAAAATGTCCAGTCTCCAGTCGTCCGAATGGGCTGGGCGCTTCAGGTACACCTCAGGACTCAACCTGGGGGCGAGGGCAGGTGGTGAGGGACAAGCCAAGGCCACTGCTCCCCCGCTGCTTCTCCTCTCACCCATCTGCTGATCGGCCGCGGGCCCGGTCCCCCCAGCTCCCAAGTGCCTTTCCCCACTCACCACCAGTCTGTGATGAAAATCTCCTCTCGAGCCCGCAGGATGGCGTCGGCCACAGCGGCAAAGTAACCTGCCCCATTCACGAACCTGGGGGGAGGCCGAGCCAGGGAGGTCAGGGGAGTCAGGGGCCAGAAAGCTCTGGAGAGTGAAGTGGGAGGACAGTCAGGGGTCAGAGGTGACAGCAGGGTCAAAGATCAGAAATGAGCAGGGAGGTCAGAGGGCATCAAGATATATCAGGGCCGGCGCCACGGCTCACTAGGCTAATCCTCCGCCTTGTGGTGCCGGCACACCAGGTTCTAGTCCCGGTTGCCCCTCTTCCAGGCCAGCTCTCTGCTGTGGCCAGAGGGTGCAGTGGAGGATGGCCCAAGTACTTGGGCCCTGCATCCCATGGGAGACCAGGATAAGTACCTGGCTCCTGCCATCGGATCAGCGTGGTGCGCCGGCTGCAGCGCGCCGGCCGCGGCGGCCATTGGAGGGTGAACAAACGGCAAAGGAAGACCTTTCTCTCTGACTCTCTCTCTCTCTCTCACTGTCCACTCTGCCTGTCAAAAATAAATAAATAAATAAATAAATAAATAAATAAATAAAAAGATATATCAGCGTGGGCTTTGCCACTAAGGTTTGCCAGTATGAGCTGAATAAAGACACAGGAGCTGGTGTGTGGTGCAGCAGGCGAGGCCCCCCCGGAGCCACCGGCATCTCCTATCAGAGCGCTGGTTGGAGTCCCAGCTGCTCTGCTTCTGATCCAGCCTTTAGCCAGTGCGCCTGGGAGGGCAGCAGATGGCCCAGCTACTTGGGCCCTTGCCACCCATATGGGAGACCAGGATAGAGTTCCTGGCTTCTGGCTTTGGCCTGGCCCAGACCTGGCTGTTGTGGCCATATGGGTAGTGAACCAGCAGGTAGGTCTCTCTCTTTCTCCCTCTCTGTCACTGCCTTTCAAATAAATAAATTTTTTAGAGACACAATCAATGAAAGAAATTGGCTGAGAAGGTTGATGTATCATACAAGCAGGCAACAGTCGTCACCCCTACCTGACCTGCCTGCCTGCTGCTTCCTTGCAGTGTGTTCAGTAAATCATACAAACAAATCAGTAACAAAGCAACTGAAAAATGAGCAAATAAGAAGCAGACAGTTCACAGAGCAAGTTAAAATAGCCAATCATAGGGGAAAATGTTCAGTTTCACTAATCAACAGAAATGGAAATTAAAACTAAACTAAATAATGGGCCAGCATTGTGACATAGCATGTAAAGCCACAGCCTGCCCCCGACACACTGGCATCCCATATGGGCATCAGTTCATGTCCTGGCTGCTCCACTTCCAATCCAGCTCCCTGCTAATGGCCTGGGAAGGCAGTGGAGGATGGCTCAAGTGTTTGGGCCCTTGCTCCCCATCTGAGAGACCCAGAAGAAGCTCCTGGCACCTGGCTCTGGCCTGGCCCAGATTTGGCTATTGCGGCCATCTAGAGATCTTCCATCTGCTGGTTCATTCCCCAGAAGCCACAATAACCAGGGCTGGACCAGGCCAGAGCCAGGACTCAATCCAAACTCCATCTGGGTCTCCTACAAGGGTGGCAGTACTTGAGCCATCACCTCCTGCCCCCCCAGGGTGTACGTTAGCAGGAAGTTAGAATTAGAAGTAGAGCTAGGACTTGAACCCAGGCATTCTAATATGGGATGCCAGCATTCCATCTGGCATCTTGAACTGCACCATAGCACTTGTCCCTGAAATAACACTAGATTGGCAAAAGTTAAAACTGGGCTGGCATCAGGCCTAGTGGCTGGCATTGATGATGATGATTAAATCCTGGGCCGGCACTGTGGTGCAGTGAGTTAATGCCCTGGCCTGAAGCGCCGGCATCCCATATGAGCATCAGTTCGAGTCCTGGCTGCTCCTCTTCCAATCCAGCTCTCTGCTATGGCCTGGGATAGCAGTAGAAGATGGCCCAAGTATCTTTGGGCCCCTGCACCTGCGTGGGAGACCCAGAAGAAGCTCCTGGCTCCTGGCTTCGGATCAGCATAGCTCCAGCCATTGCGGCCATCTGTGGAGTGAACCAGCAGATAGAA